CCACAGGCGGGCTTTTTTATGCAACCTGCACAGACACATGAGAGGTAGCCCAGAGACCCTTTGGTCTGGAGCGCACAAACGGAGTGCCCATGTCAACACTTTACAGGAGCTGAAACTTGCAAAAGGCATGGTATAAAACCCAGAACAATGCAGCTTAAATATAAGGACTTCTAGCTAAAACAGGAATATTCACATAATTAGGTTGTATTTTTTTACCATTTTCTCCTCCAAATCCACTTCCTCCTACTCAAAAAAACTTATCACAAGACCCCTACTAAATCCATCACTTGTTCCACATGACCTCTAAATAGAGACTATTCTAAAGCACTCTAAGTCTAATTCGTCTACATTTTCTACGCTTTCAGCAAGTTCAAACAAAAATTTCAAATAATTAGTCACAAGAAAGGTATTTTGAACCTTTAGGCTCAGGGATGCAGCAGTTACTGTTAAAGCCAAGGTATCCAAGTCCATGCACATAGTTGTGGGCAAAACGTCAGCTCATAAATAGAAAGCTGTGCTTCCAGTTAAACCCTCTGACACTCCCACTAAGTGAGAATGCTCACATAAAACTGTGCTAGCAGTTGCAGTTATCACAAACGCATTTTAGCTATGTTATTAATTTAAACAGAAATGTTTTAAAGAATCTCGGCAGAAGATAAAATCAACGTATCTGGTAAGGAAGCGAAGTATTTGAGCGCTGCTCTTTTAGACGGCTGTCGTTTGATATCCTGCATGTTCTTTCTTTGCAGACCACCATTTGCTAGCTCTCTCCTTTTATTGTCAGTAATACTATAGCAAATTTTCTCTAAATTTGGCAACTGGTTCTGTTTTAGTGAAGCCAACAATCAATACTCTCACCAGAAAATAATTTCATTTCAAAAATCAGCTTTTAGCTCATAACCCCGCCATCCAACCTTCAGAGCAAATTTTATACTCGTATTTGAGGTGAGGAAACAAGATGAGGGAACTGCCTTCTGCCTTCAAAGTAAACAGGCAAGTCGTGACTCATAGTTTCTTAATCGCTATCCTCACCATTTTCCATATGCTTAAGAGCTTTAGCGTTAGTATTTCACAAGAAACAGACAGCCTGTGCGATCTGGGCCTGACAGGAGCCTCGGGACTTGTTACTGTCCTTCAGACAATTATTCAAGTCATGTGTGTCTATTGTTCCACATCTTTTCCCAGTTGTATCACCTACGAGTTTTAACACTGATAAAAATGCAGAAATATCTGAGCCCATGATCAGATGTTCCTCTCTGTCCTCTAATATTTTTCTCCAACCCTTTCAGACTTTTTTTCCACTGAAGAGAGGGACGCCGGTGCGAGGGACGTGGGGAACAGCCCCTTACCTTCGCTGTCCGTGAGGACTTCCATTCGGCCACTGAACATGGCCTTGAGCATGGTGTCCTGCTTGGTCAGGGTCTGCATGGTGGTGTAGTAGAGGGCACCGCCAATGTTCAGCTTGACATACTTGGAGCTCGGACTCGTCCCTTTGAAGGAGGTAGTGCGAGTCGCAGCCGCCGGCACTGCTGAGCTCACCACACTTTCTCCCGACATCTCTTCCTGCAGGCAAGGAGCTACCAGTTAGACTTGCAGTTCCACTGCACGACACCCAACTTGGTGTTACCATCGGTTACGTTACACAAAAGCAGTCACAGATGTGCTGGGCACTATCGGCCTCGGCTCCTCTCTGCCTCTTTGCTAAGTTCTCAAATGTTCTAGACATTTAATTTTGTCCTCTTTCTGACAGTGACACAAACCAGCCAACGAACATAAATCAATTCAGCCAGTGAAGAACGCTGTGAAAGCTGAGCACCACAAAAGCCAATACTTTCCCACAAAACTGCATTCATTTCTTTCACAATTTCTAAAGCTTAAGCTCTTACATCATGATTAAACCGGTATGTAATTGGGAAATTCCCAATACACAGAGCTTGAGCAGATAATTCCCGTGTGTTAAAACGCAGACTATCCACAAATTTTCTTGAAGCCTTTTTCCCTTAAAGCACAGGCGGCTCTACAGAGAGCACACACGACCTTCCCGCTCTCTTCCCTGCCCTCCCACATTTCTCAGCACACCAGAACCCCATGTCCAACACCCCCCCACTCCCTCTGCCCGCAGTCCTCAGACAAAGTGGACTCCAGGCAGCTAACGAGGTCACGTGCTGTAACAGGAACACATTAGCTTAGCACCGCAAATGCTCTGAGAGCTGCTAACGATAAATCCTTAATCGAGCTGCGTCCCTGTGGTTAACTGTTTTGCCTCACAACATGACAGGATGGCATGATTAACACCCCGCCACCTCAGACAGACCCAGGTCCTTCAACTTCCAGAGCACGCTGACCGACTGAATGATTTTTGTCGTGAAGAGCAGAACTATCAGACGGCAAAGCCGAATGGTAGTTCAGAAATGTAGGTACACGTCCAGATTGCATTTCACAAGGCGAGGAAGCGGGATGGGCAGAGATGGCCACAGGGGACCGTTCCCTCTACCACGGAGCCTGCCTTGGGCTCTCTGGAGTGCAAAGGCACCAGCCTCAGCCCCACGCTCCAGCAGCTGAAGGCCCGCGCACCCCAGCCAGGACCCGTGCGGGGGCTCCCAGCGTGGGCCCCTGCGCTGTAGCGTGACCCAGCGCACCGGCCGCAGCCCAGCAGCCTGCCATCCGCGGGGCACAGAGCCGCGGGGCTGCACCCCGGGCCTGCCCTCCCCAAACCACACCAGCCACCAGCCAACGGGCAGCCAGGGGAGGACCAGACCCTCCCCACACACCTGAAAACCAGACCGGGGCACCCCAGCTCTTGGCAGGCGGACCCTTCTACCTGCTCCCTGCTCTCTAAGCACCCCAACATCAGGGCTGGAAACCCACATGCACCCCGCAAACTCCCTCCTGCTTCCCAGCACCCCAGCCCACCCCATAACCTCCCTGCTTTCCCAGCACC